GAAAACCGCAGAGCCATGTGTAAACTCCGTATTAGCGACCACCCTCTACACATAGAATCTGGCAGGCATAGCCGTACACCGTTACAAGATAGACTGTGTACATTCTGTAACAATTCGTGTATTGAAGATGAATCGCATTTTATGCTTGACTGTAAATTATATGATAACGAACGTAAATCACTGTTCAGTTCAATTAAGCTCGACAAAAAAATGTAAAACATTATCAAAGGAAGACACCTTTAAATATATTATATCATGTACAAATATAGACGTCATCAATGAAGTATGTAAGTATATTTCAAAATGTTTCAAAAAGAGAGAAGAAGCCATTAGAACTTAGATCAATACCACTTATATTTATATTTCTTTTTATCTTATTTTTAGCATTGTATACCTTAGACCTAATGTTAGCCTTTTATATTACTATTGTTTTAGTAATCTCTAGTACATTGTACATCCATGCATTTATCCCTCCGGGGAATGAACATGCAATAAAGTTTCATTAAAAAAAAGCCATATAGATGCCTCCCGAGGTTGTGGCTGGAGCTACCACAGTACCACACCTGCTGTCCTTGAAAGGATGTCAGCATCATCACCGGTCTAACCAGTTCTTTTAAGGCAGGTTGACATTTCCTACATACTGAGATACTTTCGTCAACGACTGCACGTACTGTTCGCAGCATTGACAGGTAAAACGGTAGGTAGACCTCTATTTGGTTTTATACCAAGTTTGTTTTATAGTATGGTAGTTTTATGCGCTGTGGACCGATCAGAGAACATCAGCTTGGCATCGTTACTAGCTCATTGTCATAAATTGGCGGTTCTATATACCCAGTTTTAAGTGTGGCTTAACTGGGTCATTTATGATCAAAGCATTCCTGAGTACATTTATGAGCAGAGAATTCCTGAGTATAGAGAAGGGGCTGTATCTGAGCCTGTATAGGTGTTTGTATAATGATGCCTCTGTAATAGCTGATATCTATTTGAAACGTAAGACAGCAGATTCAGGCTAAGCCCAAGGAGGAGTTCTGTTTATCGCATGTTTTGACTGGAAAATTTGGGTAACGCCAAATGTAGGAGCCGTTGTTGCTATTTGAAACATTTTGTTCTGTTGCTATTTCAAACAAATTTGCATTTGTCTCTGACAATGTGTAAAAGAGCAGAAGTTATGATACGAATTCTGCACATTTTGTGTACAACGAAGTTTCCCATGGCATGTGGAGGGATATATGATTACACAGAAGACTCAGGTGTTATCATCCTCTTTGTTATTGTTCTCTTTTCGATATATCTGTAACTGGATTCCATTGATAACAAAGTGGTTTCTTCCAACCAAATCGAATCAATTCTATAGACATAACGCCATCAGCTGCTGTTTAAAATCCAACGAAAAAGACTTTAATACAAACGTTAGAATCATTCTGTCCTAATTTCAAGAGTCTTCCACCCTGTTTTGCATAGCCTTAGGCCAATCGATTTTTCTGGTCACGAGGATGACCCAGTAAGGCATGTGCCTGTTGACAGAAAAACAAACAACTGTTCATACTAGACAATATACTACGTACATTGTATCTACAAGCCTGCACACGTACCTCTTGAAAGGTGGTAAACACAACTCTTTGAATTGAACCTTAGGCTTCGAATCATCTTCATTGGGAATCATGCTACAAGCAATATCTTGTCTTCATCGCTTCAATTATGGAGTGTAAATTCACAAATTTTTCAGCTTTTCAATAAACTCTATCAGTTCTTGCTTCTCTTGTCAGTTTTTGTAGACGTGACTGCAGAAAAAACAGACACCACAGCAGAAATCATGAATCTAAACAACCAGGCCGTCTGTTGTGTAGCGGTCCTCGTGGGGTTTATGTTGAGTGGATTCCTCATCAGCATGGGCATGGTATAAAAGCACGACAGGTAATGTGGTCCTTTCGTCACAATCAGTTATACGACGATAAAGCATAGGTCAGAAGTTAAGTAGATTTAGCTCTTTATCACATTTATTTAGTACGTAAATTTAAAAACGTGATAATTAAAAAAGTCGTGATAATTATTTTTCTAATGGTTATCCCCTGTTTGGCTAGTTACAAGAATTCATCTAAACCATATAAAAATTCACAACATTTAAGTTATCACGTTTTTCAATTAGAATAATAAAAGTCTGTTTAAGTTACAGTGCTTGTGATGCACATAGTGTATAGTGCGTTTTATTCATGTTCTGCTTGCTCCTTCATTTGCATGAATAGTGGTCTACATTGTCTTTGCAGATCGTCATTGACAACTATGGTCAATTGACAGCTGAGCACAAAGGATGCCAGGAGACCAGAACACCTACACAGTCAGCAACATCATCCCTACAACGAAGACATATAGGAGCCTTCTTTTATGACAGTAGCGTGTTCGATTCCAAATCATGATTTGGAATAAAACGAAGTGGAATGTACCTGCATTCCTAAACGTGGTCTATTCCAAAACATGATTTGGATTAACACATAGTGGAATGCCTGTTGCATTCTAAAACGTGATCCATAATAATACACTCGACCGATACCTTGCATTGAATGAGAGCTTACGACCGCCTTTCAGCTTCATGCAGTAGTCAGACTGTGACGTAATGATGACGCAAACTCTACCATGGGATTTTGTCATAATATCGTGAATGGTCGGCTACACTCGACTTACACTTTGCATTGAATGATATCCGCTCTTCTGTGCTCCGATTTCATACAGACCTCACGTCACTGTGACATGATGTATGTTATCCTGGCATTGTGTCTGATGTACACTAGTTTAGTCTTTGTGAAGTTTGGAGCCTGAGTCGTGTTCACATCGTGTAAGCTACATGATTCGAGGCAAAGTTTCCTGGTCTGCTGTTTCCTTTGGTGCAAATAAAGCAAACTAACCCGCATGAAAACAGACTTGAGTCCAGTAAAATTATTTATCAGATAACATAAGTCCTATCCGCTGAATCATAATAGAACTAAAGCGGCCCAATGAGCTATCATTTTAAATCAAGACCGTCAAACAAATTATACATTATTAAGAGTCACCTGTATCTTGCAGACATGCAATCGCCACCGAAAACATTGACTTGAGTCCAGCTATTCCCATCTTTATCAGATAGCATGATAAGGCACATATGCGCTGAATTATGAAACGTGCGTATGAGTGTACCCGGAAGAGAAATAAGCGGTCCAATGAGTTATCATATTAAGGCCTTTACACAAACAAGTGTAATCTGTAATTTATACGAACTTATCTCTACAGACATGCAATTGATGCCGAAGACATGATATTACTAGCTCAAATGATAAAAAGCCATGAAACATAACGTTATTAAAGAAACATGTATAAAACTAGAAAGGCCGACATTTGCTTGGGAGCAAATACAGCATATTTCAGTCCATCTCCCTCCCACGCAAAAGTGGACTATTCCAAACTTACCCCAGTGCAAAACTGGCAAAGGTTCTCAAATAAATGAATTAAATATAGTAGCTATATGAGAACAAAGATGCAACAACAAGTACTTTGAATCTTGAAAGCTTTACTAATCTTATTACTGGTATGCAAAAACTAACAATGATGAGATTTGATACATTTTGAAGGTCTTAGGCACATAAAATTGAATGTGTGGGTCATTACGCACCACTCAGGTGCAATGTGACCTCAGGTAACCCGCAATGGAACACGTGTTCCATGGATGGAACCGGCCATTCTTTAGATAGAACATGGAACGGGTATGGCACTTTTGGCCCTTTTTTGCTGAAAATAGCCATTAAAGTCCCCCAAATGAGTCATTTGGAAGTGATGTATGCCAGATATATGACTGCTATTCTGTAGACACACGTTCAAGGTACCCTTATACCGAATGTCATATCATTTGGTTGTAATACCAGGGCTCAGGATCCAAAAATCCATTTTTTGTCAAAAAATGCCCCAAAAAACCTTCATAAAAATTTTTCAAAGGCATGTTTCAAAAAAATGAAAAAAAAGTCTGGGGGTATTTGCTCACTCTACTTCCATGCCAATTTTCAAGTCATTTGGCTGAATGATGGCGGAGTTGAATCCCTCTGACTGTTTGGCAGGAGAAGGAGGAGAAGGAGGAGGAGAAACATGAGGGAACACAATAAAAAAAGCAATATATTTCATCCATACCATGGTATGGACTGAAATATAAAAACTGGTAGTCTATAGTTGTGACTTATCTGCAGAGTTGGATCGTGAATATGCATCAGTGGTGAGTCGTGACACGTTAGGTTGCAATTGCTTACACAAAAGTTTAAGTTAAGTTGAAGAAGGCAAACATGTACAAAACAGAGGAACTATTATGTAACTTCATATCCATAAGTTTTGTTACTGTGTAGTCATCCATATCTTGCTCTGAAAAGTCTCCATTGCATTAATGCGGGCTGTAGCTTCGCCTTCTTCATTTGTCGTTTTAAACAGCATTCACAGCATACATGTAGATAGCAAGTCTGGTTTTGCATGGCATCGATA